GGGGGGGAGGGGGGGGGAAGTTAGACTTTTCAAAAATCCGCGCCGTGGGTACAATTAGACTAAAAACAAAACTACTACTAGGATAGCATACAAACCAATCACCTAAAACACGCCGCGCCCAAGGGCCGGCGGATTTCAAAGACTAGTGGTATTTTCCATTGCGGTGTTTGGCGATGGTATTTTCTGCGATTCCTTACCACTCCAAGACCGCATGTTAAGTTTCCCTAAAAATCTAGGAACCAAATCATTAGTGCGAGAGGGCGGCGGGGGGAGCTTCCTTGAAGAAGCGTGAGCTATCCTGCGTCCAGTTAGTGGTAGCTGAAGTAAGCGTAGCTACCTAGCTACCTCTCTAGCGGCCTACCCCCCGGGCTTGTTACTACTAGCAAACATTGTTACTACTAGTAAGGTACCTGCTACTACTAGTAAGGCACTTGTTTCTAATAGCTTCTTGTTACTACTAGTAAGGCACTTGTTACTAGTAGCGATGCACTTGTTACTACTTGCTTTAAAACACAGTTTTTTTACAATTGAGGCACACTTAGCGTGCCGGATGTGATGACAGACTTGGGAGCAGAGGAGGTTAATTTTTTGGGCGGCAAGGCGAGGGAAAAGTCCGTTCGAAGACATACGAGGTGAATTGGTTTCGTGCATTTGGTGGCAGTAAAACGCAAGGAATTGAATTGACTGAAAGCACAAGTCTTGTCAATGTGAAAGCACCAAGTTTGATCCCGATGTTTGTTTGCAGGCGCACAAGAATATGCTGCAGAGCGCCTGCAATGTTTTGCGCACCATCTATCCACTCCTGGAGAGCTTATCGGGGCAGGTGGATCGAATTACATTCACAGGTCACAGCTTGGGCGGGGGTGTCGCTGCGTACCTCACAATGCTCTTTCTTGAACTGACCTCTGATGCTGAAGCCCCACCCGAAGTGCAATGCTTTACCTTTGGCTCGCCTGGCATATGTTCTGCAGCTGTGAGCAAATCGCTCAGAACACACGTAGTATCTTACTGCCACGCGCAGGATGTTGTACCTCGACTTTCGACGGGTCACTTGCTAGAGCTTCATGGACGTGCAGTTCTGGCTGCAGCTGTCACTGGAGATACAGTGAAGCGATCAATAACTGATGGAGGAATTTGGAGGGCAGCACAAGCAATTCCACAAAATTTGGAGGAAGCGCTTGCAAGCAGCAAGATCGAGGCGCTTGAAATGGAGATTTCTGGTGATTCGCCAGAGATGCTGAAGCTCTACCCAGCAGGGAGGTGTTTTTTAGTGCAGAGCAATGGCGAGGTTGAGGAGCTTGCGCCTGAAGAGTTGGCACCTTGCATAGATTTGTCTGGGGGCCGCCGAATGGTGGTTGACCATTTGCCTAGAATCTATGAAGTTGTCATGAAGGCTGCAGCTGAAAGAGCACGGCACGAAGACAGAGAATGTGGAGTCCGGACAGAATGCCCTTCTCGTCTCTAAAATGGTGCTGGGTGATAGCTAAGGGGACCATTTCACCGAAAGAGATGTACGCTTGTACACACCAACGAATTCTCTTGCAAAGATAATGCATGACTCAAGTTGTCCATCATGCTGGTAGTCTTAGGCTTGGACCTTTTCTACATGGGCTTCTGGCTGAGGGGCACTTTGAAGTCACTTGCTTACTGTATCTGAAATAGCACCAGAAGACCTTTTGCCGCATTTAGCTCATGCCTGTGGTTGCCGCTTGCTTTTTTCTTCTTAGTTGTGTGAGGCTCTTGACACTTGGGGGCTTTGGACTGTGGTGAGTGTCTGAGAGATTCTTCGGGTGCTGAGATCATTGTAGCTGTTGAGCTGCTGACTGAAGTGGCGTTTGACGTTTTGTTCTACATCATGGTGACCTGCGTTACTTTTTAAACAGTTGGCAGCGTGTGTTGTGGTCAGGTGGGCATTTGACATTGTGCGTGTGGGGGCTGCACCCACATACGCGAAGCAGTTCAAGCTGAACAATGCTTGTCTCCTAGCCACCCTGATGCCTTGAAACTCCATTTGCTTAGGCAGACAATGTTGGTTTATATAGCTATGCTTGTTTAGCTTCAAGTGATGTGAATATTGAGGACCTGCCTCATTGGGTTTTCATGCTTATCAACGTCCTTCTTTTCGGCGGCGGTGGTTTGGCATATTCCATGTCCTCGTGCTCTGGGAGATGCCAAAGTCTTGTCAACGAGTTTTTACTTTTTAAAGGGGTAGGCCGCTAGAGGTGAGGTAGGGAGAGGTAGCTAGGTAGCTAGAGGTAGCTATATAGTAGTAGCTAGAAGTAGCTACTAAGTACTGGACGCAGGATAGCTCACGCTTCCTTGAACTCCTTGAAGAATGATTTGGTTTCTAGATTTTTAGGGAAACTGAGCTGTATGCGAGGTACGCCAGGTTCAATAAGATGAAAATGCGGGAGGGAGAAAAGCCGCTCGGCTGATTGGTCATTGGGTGTTGTGGCCTTTGCAACGTTTTGATGTCACTATGATCCTGTTCGTGAAGCTTGCAAGGACGCACGGCAGTGGGGCTGCCCAGTTCGGTTTTGTTTGAGCATATCTGACTTTGCTATATAGGGGTGGTATTGACCGCGATGAGCTACTTTATGGGCAGTGACTTCAGGTGATGAAATCATCATGGACCGCTCAGAGGGAGGACAGGGTATCAGGCGTGCTTTATTTGGTGTTTTGCAAATTGACTTGCTCCAGCAATAATTGCAGGTCAAGAGGGAACTTCAGCAAGGTCCCTCAGAAAAGGAATGCAGGTTGGGGCAGCTTTCACGGATTTTCAAACCAAATATGTAGATGCAACACCATGCCGACATGCTCATTCATTTGCTTGGCAGTGCGGTTGGTCTAAGGCTACACTGGCTATGGAGCGACCCTGTCCTGAAGAGCCGAAACTCTGTAACGCACCCGGAATCTGAGTGTATGGCTCAGTGTATGGTGAAGTAGTCTGAGGGGTGTTGAGCCACCTCGGAATCTTAGTCGTTCCAGGAAAGAGACATGCAATTGCAACCTGCACATAAGCAGTTGGAGAGCTTCAACTGTATTCGTATTTGATAGCTGATGTCTCTTGAGAATCAACAGCGCCCAGTTGCTGAAAAAAGTCCCTTGTCCTACGCGGATCTCCACGCAGAATCTGGCACCAGTTGCTCAGAGGTCCGAGTAAATCCCACTTGGCAGGACGTAAAGGGGTTAAAAGGTGACCTCAAAGGCAAAGGAAAAGATAAGGGAGGAAAGGCGAGAGCAGCGAGCTGTTACTTTGTTCTGCGGATGCAAGGTGACAGCATAGAAACTCTTGTGTGGCAGGTCGGAAAGGGAGATGGTGGGAAGGCACACCGACTTCGTCAGGTGCAAGCAAGGAACATTGTTGGTTTTGTTGTTCAGGCGAAGGGCGACAAGGGAAAGTGCCAGTCCCAGAAGTTAGCAATTGGACAACAGCGTTGTCAGGTGTATACCTACTCTTCTCTTGCCAACTTGCATACATTGACAGGGGCAAAGGCGGCGGCAAAGGCGGCCGGCGTGGCTCGACTGCAAAACCTGGAAACTTTCGAATCTATGTATATATATATATATATGTGTTATTTAAACATTCTTGTCTACAGAACATCGAGACAGGTAGCCTCACTCTGCATTTCCAGGTGATGGAGCTGCCATCGGAGAGCTATTGCCTGAGACCAACGAAGAGGCAACCAAGTGGCATAAAATCATTAAAGGAAAGCATTCTCGCTTAAAGTGCAAGGGGCAAGTCATTCCACATCTTTGATGGTAAGTAGAAGCAAGGGGGAGCAAAGTTGATGGCTATCACAGAGACTCTTGCATTTGTGGCAATATGCACAGGTCAAGAAAGAGTATGAAAAAGAATTTGATGTAACTGCTGCCAACTCCAAGTCAGAGACTTAGCCTCTAGCACTTCTTTGCATGATTCATTCATTGTGTCATATTGTGTTTGTTCCAGGGAATCTGTTTGCCCACCCTGAGGTTTGACAAGTCTGCTGTAGCTCAGGAAGGTGAGGAAGGCGTGTGCTTTGAGGGTTTGGCGGATGATTGGGTGCAGCAATCTCAAAAGATTTGCAGGTGATTCACTGAAACCTCTGCCTGGCTATGACAAGACCAAGTCCTTTTTCGACAGCATCTCCTGTGAGGCACTTTTCAAACCTTAAGACCTATCAGGTACTAACTGACTTCTTTTCCTTACTTGTTTTCTCAAACTCTCTCCGTGTAGCTATAGAATCAATATAGAGATATAACAATTCGTTAGCAAAATTTCTGTCTTTTTGCATCAATTTTTGAGCTATCCCTCGACAATGTTGCAAGGCCACTGAGCGCTCTGGAGCTGCTGACAGGCCGAAGGCTTGCACCTGAGCCTAGTGGTACCCATGTATCCTCACACATCAGTTTTCCAGACACAGATGATGCAAACAAGTTACAGCACGGTGTCTTGTTCTAGTATTCCGATGCTGCAACAGAACTGCCGACCTGTGTGGCTGCAGCGCTTGAGCTTATGGATAAGCAGATATACACTAGAACTCAGAACAATGGAATGCACCAGACAAAATACAATGGCTTGCAATGACTCGGGTGAAGATTGTGACTTGCCCTCACTTGCTTCCTAAGCCAAAGAAAGTCAAAATACATTGGTGAGAAAAACAGGCAGGATAAATTTCATGAAGGGAAGAGCATTTGTTCGGACACGCTCAAATAGATCAACACACGATGCTTCTACTCTCCCTAACTGCCACTCCAATCTCAAAGCTGCGTTTGTCAGAGATTCTTTCAGCTCACTTGTCGTCGATGGCAGAGGGCTACACTGAGGAGGCAAGTTTAGGCGGAACAGGTTTTGTTTGTGGCTTCTCACGTGAGCTGAGCTTGGAGGCGGCACCCGACCCCCGCCCAGAGAATGCAGGAGAGCTGAAAATCCAACAGCCTGTAAGCTGAAGACATCGTGTTTCAATTTCCTTTCATGGAAAGGCGAAGAACCCGAAGAACAATTAAGCACTGATAGGCAGGGTTGTGTAAGGAGCTGTTGGACAGTTGGATGAACGATGAACGCTATGTTTCACTGTCTGAGATTGAGGCCAAATCAGGTCAACTATGATACGCCACGTGAGACCTTGATGATAGCCTGGACTCCGAGAGCCTTTGCTTCCCACAGATCGCAGGGTTACTGGGCCTTGTTAGGACCTTTGTGGTCATGCTGAGGTTATGCAGAGGGATGGTAACCAGCTTGGCTTTACAGCCCCTGCAATGCGTGCAGACGAGGAGGTGCCTGCTCCTCTTCGAAAGCAATTTCTCTGCCCAGCCTGCTATTTGAATCGTTTATTGAGTCGGGCTGTGAGTGGATTGGTGTTTGCCGTCAGGGCTGACTGACCGAACCAAACAGAGCACTGTAGCAAAGGAATTTACTTTGCAGATGGGAGAGTCTTAGAGACTCTCTTGAATCAAATGAGATACTGAACACTCGAGCCACTTTGTACCTGTCCTTAGCTAACCTGACTCACCAGTTCACTTCTTGTGGCGCCATGGAAGACAATGTGCAGACATTCATTGACTTCACGGGTGCCTCTGCAGATCAGGCTCGCTGTGCATAGAGCAGCTGTAATGAGATCGGTACAGATCAGAGTTGTGTGGGAGGCTGCCATATTCCTGGAAATGACCGGAGGCAATGTTGAAACTGCAGTGGAGATCTTCTTGTCAAGCCAAGGAGGCAAGCAATTTGCGGCATGACAAGCTCGATTACCTCCAACCTAAATAGCGATGGCCTCCAACCTCCGGTCCTAGCGATGGCCTCCAACCTAATTAATAGCGACGGCCTCCCTAAAGTTCACATATTGCACTACCGTTACCTGATTTTGTTTTGCTGTGAACTTATTATGGTCCTTATACTTTCTTCAGGTGATGGTGATGTGCCTATGACTCCAGTGGTAGACGAGGTCCCTGGGCCGACAAAGCTTAGATGGAGCACGTATTTATGTGTATTTCGCTGGTTCGTAGCAGCATTTGCAGAAGGCTTTAGCTCCACCTTCAGTGCCTGTGCCTTTGCTTCCCTCTTGGTGGATGACCATTTGGCCAGCACCCCAAGAGCCGCCTGAAGCTTGGCGGCTGCAGCGCTTGGATAGCAGTGGAGGTTCCTGGGTGCAAATGCCATGAACAAGCCACGAGCATGGAACAGAATGAGAATCTTTTTGTAGGATTCCATTCAGTGGGCTTGCATGCTATATTTGACTATATAATATGCATGTATATATTACGAAAGCCAGCCGATAGGCTAGGCTTGAGCTTTTAGAGTGAACGAAGTGAGTTAAGGGGGTGGGGGGAGGTCGCGGAAAGGCACAATTTGAGGGCGAACCCGGAGCTTGGTGGGGGAGAGCGCTCCAAAGCGAGGGTCAAAAAAGCAGTGAACATGGGGTCTGGTGATGCGAGTGATGCAATGGACGCCAAGTAGTGCATCATTAGCATCATGAAGGGCTTCGGAGGCTATTTGGACAATGGGCACTGAGCAATCGAGTGGAGACAGGGACCCAAGTACAGCATGTAGGACTTGAGTTCCCCAGGACAACCCGTAACTCGCGAAGTCCATAAAGAACCGAAAGTGACATGAGTTCAACTCCGTGAATTTGGATTGAGTTTCGGTGGGTATGCCTGCGAGGTTGACTACATATCTGCATAGGGTTCCTGCCCCTTAGCAAAAACTATACTTGCACCATGTCCTCAGTCGAGTGGATGCTTCTTGCGGCGTCCACACGCACCGAACATTTTTTTCCGGCTTGCCGGTACAGATAGATAATAGATAGATAGACAGACAGATAGATAGATAGATACTGAGTGAGAAAAGCGCAGAGTTGATAAGAAAGAGAAAATTAAGAATGTGTTTGGATCGTTTAATAAAGGCCCCTTTAAAGGAAAAAGACTGTGTTTTGGATCGAGCCAGGACATGACTCACTCAAGTCCAGGCATGTGCATCGATAGGCGCACAAATCCTCACTCGTTTGCTAGCCTAAGCTACTCCTGCGCGACCTCCCCTTCTGCGCCGCGGGATCAAACGTCCGTGTCCCGGCCAAGACGTGCCCCTTCACTCTTCCAAATCAACGAATGCCGCTTTTTTCGACGTGCCGCAGTATGCATTGCAAACTTCAAACACTTCAAATGTAACAAACACATACTTGCGCGCGCGCACGCGGGCGCGCGGCGACGCTGACTATGCAGAAGGTCTTCCTGCGCGCGCGCGGGCGCGCACGTGGTATCCCACCACTCGAACTTAGATGATACTTCCCCTTCGCTAACGCTGATGTTGCCTTCCAACTTGTATAAGACGCATACCTTTCTGCGCGTGACAAACACATGCCATTGCCTTGTGATGATGACTTACACCAACATACAATGTATCGCACTTCTCTTTCACTACTTCTTTTTGCATACTAAACTTATCCCAAAGCCGCCCGGCTTGCTTCTGTGCTCCCTCCATCACCATTACATACGCCCCCCTACATCCGCAGCACCGCTGACTCGCAAGCTGCCAACCATGTCACGAAAGGTAGCTTGAGCTACCTGAGTTCTCCTTGCTTTAGCAAAAATGTATTACAATCAGGAGTTGGGATTGTGCATTGAGTTTGGTCCTGTAAGAGTTGATTCTGTTCGTCGGGGGGGGCCCCCCCCCCCTGGATCAAATCCCCCCTGCGCCGGTTCACGCCGTCATGGACTTCTACCAGGGTTACTTGTGATTGCCTGCTACCTTTCGTTCACCCCCTCCTCTCTCAAGTGTCTTGTGCCGCGATGCCCGCCAGAAAAAGAGTCACTCGTCTGGAGGCTGCTGGCTTTCGTACCCCCTTCTCAGGTGCATACATACATACATACATACAGGTTTTAGATATCTATTTACACTACACTACACTTGATATCCCGTATTAAAAGAAAGACAGTCCCAGAGCGCCTAGCATGATGTTGTTTGCTGCAGGTTGGGCGGGTGGCATACCACAGCCAAAGAACGGCCCCTGTGGAGTCATTGCTGTTGTTCATGCCTACGTCCTGGCCAAACAATATAGCCGCCCAACCGACCAGATCAAGGCCTCGTAGAAAGGGCCAAATGTTTTTGAAACTGTGCGAAGACGTGCTTTTGGGACACTGACGCTCAACTTTGAAAGGTTTGCGCGGATGATGTGGCTGCAGTGATAGGAGACATCCTTTTGCGATGTCGCCAAGATGATGAATCGCCCGTAAAACTTTGCAGACCAGCTTCGAAAGGTCTGGGGCTGTACATTGCAGAACGCACAGTGAATAGAAGACAAGAGTAAAGCAATAGTTACTTGGCAGCGCAAAGAAAACCAATTGTATGGCCAGGCACGTATGGCCCTGAAGCTGACCTTGACATTGTGGAAGTTGCAGGAGAAGAGGCCGTGAGACGGGAGGTGCGAGCTCAGCAATGATGTGTTTGTTCATTTGCCGATGGTCTAAGTTTGCTTGGACTAAGGTGCTTCAGCGTGTGGCAGATTTCCAAGGGCCGGGAGGAATCATTGATCTGGTCTACTCGGCAACCTTTACCCGAGGCCCAAGTCATTTGCATGGCCACTGCCGCGAAAGTTCCTTTGTCCTGTGCCCTGTATGCCGTTCAGTGGAGGCATTGAGAAAATAAAGGAAGAGGCACTTCTTGAGGGAGAGTTGCCTCTGGTACCGAAGCTTCTTTGCTACATTGAAGCCCCAAACCTCAACTTTGAGTTGTGCAACACTTGCTGGTCCTTGGACTGTTTTGAGGGTGGACTTTGTGTGAACCCTCAAGTCGCCTGTTGACTTAGTGCAGATTGGAAAGCTGAGGAACTTTGATTGTTGGCTTTGCAGCACTGAGCTAATGTCCTTGTTGCTGCGGGGCAACGCCATGGGAAATGTGGGTGCCCATGCGGCTGATGGAGGTGCTTTCCTTTGACACCAATGCATTTGTGCTTGAAGCTGCATCAATATCATTTGTTTGGTACTGTGTATGAAGCTGAATGCCCCTGTTTTTGAGCCTTTGCATCGTTTTTGCCCACCCTGACTGAAGACTTGACAGTACTGTTTGGGTGCACCATCACCTCCATCGCAGATGACCAGGTGCTTATCATTCAGATTTGTGGATCAAGGTCACACACCCCGAAACCATGGTTCAGTGGCTTAGCGCAGGTTTCTGCGCTAAAGCTCCACATAAGACTGCCAGCTTTATCTTGTCTGCAGCGAGCCTGGAGCAGTAAACGCTGCGCCCTCTGTAATTAATTACACATGTATGGAAGCCCAAACATATTCCGATTCTATGTCATGCCAGCAAGCTGGCAACAATATGGCAGGCAAGGCAGCTCTAGGTCTCTAGGCGTACAAAACCAAGAGTTCCCCCGACTTAACATTCTCTGCACAAAGCCTGTCTCTGTGGCCGCACTATCAGCTCAACATAGCCACATGGATATGTTGCTGCACCCCAAACAGACGCAGGTACTTGACAGGCACAGCAGGAGTATACCTTTTCTTGATGACTGATGCCACGCCAAGGACTGCGCAAACGCTGCTGCATTGACATGCAACATCGAACACCCTCACCCATGCGCGATATTGTAACGATCAACCATCAGCCTTGTACCCCTCAGATCTTGAACTGCTCTAGCCAATTCCCCAATTGCCAAAAGTGGAGTTCCATAAACGTGCTGCATACGGATGGTCGGTAAAATTTAAAATGCATGGGACAAAATACCCGATTCTTGCCTTCAATCCTCAACGTTTGCATTTTACTTTTGTTGCCGCTTGTGGCTAGGCCAAGCCTACTCGCAGGCTGCAGGCACATGATAAGATCCTTGACCCTTTTCCAGATTAGGTGCCCTACAGATATTGTTAGATATATTGCTAGATGCTTCGTGGTTTGTTTTCTTGTGGCTTTCAATTTAGACGTTTAGTACATTCAGTTGTTCGATCCTATCGCATTGTTGCGTCCCTTTGAGTGCGTTCTTCGTGTCGCTTCTGATTTGTTCCTGCATTTTCGGCAGTTTGTGGCTGCCCCTCTTTCTTGTTTCAGCCAATCTTATGATGTATATATATATATATATACTGTACCATCCCCTTCGTGTACCTGGGCAACCAAGGGGCACTTAAATTAAGGGCGCATGGGTTGAAAGTCCGGAAGCGAGGAATACCCCTCAACCATGGTTTGTTGACAGTTGAGACCCATTCTGTTAATTTTGGGATCAACCAGTGTTCCGAGCTATGGCAGTCAAGCTTCCGCTTCAAAGTGATCCAGCCTATGTTATTCAATC